AACGGAGCGCCGAAGTGAAGCGTGAGAAGATGGGGGGAGAGGACACAGGGAGACGTCTCCAGTTAGTGGCCAATAGCCGTGAGCTACGACGGTGGGCAAAGTAGCTGGAGACGCGGAAACCTTAACCGCTGACAGAGTGAATTCCAATCAAAGCTGCCAGTCCGTAATGTTATTAACCACAGCAGAAATCAGGGCAAATTCAATCAGGGAATGGCAGGAGCGCTGCCTGGGGGTAGCCTTCTGAGGCGGGTCGGACCCGCAGTCAGTAAGCCCGCGCGCCTAATTCTCTTAGACCGACCAGTGGCGAAGGGCGCATTAACCAATTATCTCTTGCGGATATCCGATAAGAACGCCTCCATCCCCCCTCCCTTTCCCCCTTTCCATATCGCATTGAACACCAGCGCTCTGGCTCCGAGGCTGTTCTGTTTAAAAAGCCACCAGGACAAAAAAAAAAATACCCCAAATTGTTTGGGCTGTCAATTAATAGACTCGCGCCAATGCGCAGGAGGGAAGGAACAGTTCCTCAGTGAGTTATTGCGCGCAAAGAAATAAACCCCGCAGTCACAATTCACGGTTTGTTTAACCTTTCCAAACAAACGATTAACTACTATTGTTGAACCGAGGCTTACGGCCAGTAGGCAAGATCAAGAACACAATTAGCCAAAAAGAGACTAGGACAATAATATAGCAATAGTGAAATGAAGTAAAAGACGAAAACCACATAATGATCATCCGCCAACTACCACCTCCTTGAAACCGAGTGCATCGAGTTGGCGAAGAGACTTGTTTATTTTAGTAGAGGTTTTACGGCGCTCACAGCTGCATAAGGTCATATGAGCGCCAGAAGATTAGAGGTGTTACAAGAGAGTAACAAACTTAAAAAAGAAGGGAGATAAGGACGATAGATGTTTGATAGGAAAGAAAAAGCAGAGCACCCATCAACCACCCACGGTGAAGAGACTGATGACAAGGAAAAAGGATTTCAGACGGTATTAGTCTAGCGTAACATACACCACATTGAGAGAAAATAAGCGGTAAGGACCTAGCCACAACCCAGACTGAGACAACCAGTCCTCAAAAAGCGAGAAGACAGTCTTATCCCCC